AGGGATTCCGCTCGTTTTTGTTTCTCCAACAGTTCAGACTTATCAAGACATAACTTATGTACGCCCAGCACATGGAGACCTGGGCAAGGGTTCCTTTATAGGTTTCTCTCCGTAGGAACCTTTTGAATGCTCCCCACCTTCAGTTCTGAGTTGATTACCTTTTCGAAGGAAGCTCAGGCTATTCCTGTTACTACCACCTACCTGAAAGGTCCTGGCTCCCGTGGCCAGGGAGCTGACTCTGTTTTCCCCTTTTCTGTTCCTAACAAGAAGTTAGTGCGGGTTCCTGGGGTTGTGAGGCCAAAGCAAACCCGCGAGCGCCATCTGCAGGCCTCGGGAGGAAGGCACTGGCTTTCCAGTCAGGACCCCTGAGCCAACAGCCTCCTACCCAAGGGAACATAATCCTAAACCCAAGGGAAGTGAGAGACAGGGAGGTGGGGGACAGATGGGTAGGTGTTTTATTTTTTTATTTTTTTTTATTTTTTACTTTCTAGCAGTTACTCTGCAATTGGATTAATCGGATCGGGATCAGGAATTTCCGAGAGACAGGGCAAAGGCCCAAATCCCTGCGGACCCATCTCCCCAAGCAATGGAAAGCTCAGAATCCTGTGCGGCTGAGCCTTGCCTGAAACCCACCCAGAGTAAGGGCATCCAGGAAACCAGGGCTCTAGATGCCCAGTAGGAGTCAGTCTGAGTCGGCTGAGTCTAGCGGGTGCTTCCCCCAATCCCAACGACTGCTGAGGCTTTTGGGCTATAGGGACAGGGCCACGAATCCACTCATTGTCCTTCCTCTGGGCTTTGGTAGCTGCATACAACGCCAAGAGTCATGGGTCCACCAGGCAAGAAAGCACTGTTTGGCAGCTCGAGCTTCCCGGAGCCTCCCTTTCTCAGACTCAGGGAGGAGGGAGCGAAGGGGGGAGAGAGAGAGTTAAAACATCAGCTGAAGTGCCAAGATGATTTATGAGACGAGGGAAAATATTTCATAAAGATCTCCCGGATATTCTGTACTTAACCAGTTAGGAGACAAAGGGCTTCTCTTGCCTAGTGTGTGCGAGAGGACCCCAGCGAACAAGGGAGCGAGTGCGGGTCAGGCTGCGGAGACTGGGCCAGCGGCTCCGATAGAAGCCGGGCCAGGCCGGCGTGCTGCGCCGGCTGCGCTCGCTCCGGATCCGCAGAGCTAGCGTCGGGCGGCGCTCAGCTACGTTCACAGACTCCTCTTCTCCCCAGCCGGGGAGAGGGAGCATCTTGATCCCGCCTTGGGCTTCTGCATCCTCTGCGGACAAGCCGCTGCGCACTGTCTCCCGACCCAATCCCTTCCCTAGCTACCCGAAGGTCCAGAAGCCAAGTTCCCTGACTCTCCCGCCGTCCGTTGGTCCCACCAAGGCAGGTGGGTCCTAGCTAGAGGCCTCTAGCTTGATTCTAAACCAAGCCTTCTGGACTGCCCAGACTCCGGGGAGGGGGTGCGCGCCACCGCGTGTGGGACGGGAGGGGACAAACTGCTGGGCACTTTGCCCCGGAATGAGAATCAGGCGTGCGTGGATAGGAAGGTACCACAGGAGGGAAAGGCGAAAAGGGAAGGACCAGAGGTAAAGGGATGGAGGAAGGAAGACACAGGGAGGAACGGAAGGGAACTCAGCGTTAAGGATAGCCGAGTTAGGACTAAGGATGCGGACCCGCGGGCGGTGGGATCTGCGGACATTGGCCGGTGGATGGCAGGGCTGGGCGAGTTAGGACCGAGAGCCTGGCTTCGGGGCGCGGTGCGCTCGAAGGCCCTCTGTGGATGCCTGAATATTCATTAGGCTGGCCGCTCTTTATCCTTATCTAACGTTTATCTTCTCGGCGAGTTTCGTTTCTCAGTGTAGTTTTAATCCCGGGCTCCTAGTCCTCCTCCCCCTGGCCCGCTCCTCACCCTCCCTCTCCCCCCGCCCGCTGCTCCCTCCCGTTTCCCCCTCCCCGGCCCTCCCCTCGCCGGCACCGGAGTGACAGGCGCGGGGCCCTCCTTGCCGAAGCTCGGGGCTCCGGCGCTGGCGAATCACAGATTGGTGGAATCTATTGCCTTTGTCTGACAAGTCAT